GGGGGCCGGTGGGGGCTTGCTCCCCCCAACCCGGCCGCCGGAGAGCCTTGCTCCGCTTTGTGCCTGTCGTCTCCTCCGTGCGGGGTTTATTTACACCGTTTCACGAATCCTATATGCGCCATCCTTGGATGCTGGCAACGCTTATGTCACTTCGATATCTCTCTATTTTGTTATCATTTTTTCCCCGTTTCTTTTTTCCGTGTCGGAGGATTCGAGAGGCACCCAGGACCTGCCGCTCTGGAATGGCAGGGACCTATGAAAGATAAATATCGTGCGCCGTTTTTCCAACTAGGGGATCAAATTCCAGGCGGCCTTACGGCCGCCGCTATTTTTCCACTTCTCGGGAAAAAGAACCTCTAAATGCGGCGGTAGCCATCTTGCATTAGTATTTTTCAGATTTGACTTTTAAAATATTTAGAGCGGTAGCCCAAGTTGCGCTGCCTTCCAAACAAAAGAGCCTTGATGCGTATACAAGTGTATTTGCACACAGCTTCACATTCACACTCATGCACACACAATATAATATAGAAAGATATAACGTATATATTAATCAATGTTTTCGCTGCGCTCATTTTACTTATGCATAACTCGAAGTGAAAGCATTTTATGGCAGCTACTTTTCTTTAAAGTATCTATTTATTTTTCCAGTGCTAAGAAATGCGAATGTGAATTAAGATACCACAAAAGCGGGAAGAACATCCCCGAGTTATTACGACAGACGCTTTTCTTTTAATGATTTTTTAAAAAGGATAAAGGAAATAAAAGAAAAGCGAGAAAGAGTGACCCAAGCCCACGAAGCCTCAAGAAATGTAGTCCATAATTCAAAGCCCCTTCAGTGTAGGGCTGAGTTCACCGAAACCTCAGTGCAAGCTCAACGGGATCCATAGAAATTCGCTCACTTCAAAACCTCTTCCCTTGCTTCCCCTGAAGTTTAACGCCGAGTTTTACTTTAATACTAATAGTGCAGATTAAGCAGTTTAGCGGCATTTAAAAGTATCTCCCTGCAATTCATCTTCGCTTTAACTGCAAGTTTATACCCAAGGTTTTACACAACGATTTTTTTAAAGGATTTTTCTTCTTTTTGCTAATTAAATAACTTATACATGCGTAAAACTTCCCCCCCCCCCCGCAGACCATAAGCTCCCAAACACAGCATAACAAGACAGCCCGACGTAGCAGGAGTTCATAAAAATGTAAACCTAAAATTTTCTAAAATCACTAGTATTTCTACAATATGAACATCCTTGATGAAAAAAAAAAATAAAGCAATCACTCGCTTATCTCTTCTCACACAGGCACGCCAGGGACATTCACCCACACACAGATGCTCACTTCAAGTATTTCAAAATCTGAGCCATTTCTCAAATACTTTAAGCAACAGCATCTGTGCTTTGGAAAGGTGGTTATATACATGCATGCCTGTAGCTCGGAAGCTAGGACTTCCACATATATTAAAGAAAGTCACAGATGATTGCAAATGTACATCTTTTAACCAAGCCTTTTGGGAATTAATAGACTGTGACAAATCTATAGAATTTTAGTAGCAGAAGAAACACAAGGTAAATAATAATAGTAATAGTAAGCGCTAAGGAAAGGCCTGGTAGCGTTTATTAAACGTGGTTCTACTCCCCTGACTTTTCCTCTGTTTCTTCGCTGCTGGGCTGTGTGGAATTTATGAATTTGTTTTCCTTTTTCCATTTCATCCGCCTGTTTTGAAACCATATTTTAATCTGGCGTTCAGTAAGGCAGAGAGCGTTTGCAATCTCAATGCGTCGTCTTCGGGTTAAGTATCTGTTAAAATGAAATTCTTTCTCTAACTCTAGCGTTTGGTATCTGGTGTAAGTTTGCCTCCCTCGTCTCCCATGAGTTCCATATACTGTACCTGTAGAAGTAAAGACAAAACGATCGCATTGGACAGGGCCCAGTGATTTCAGACCAGAAAGAGCGCTTGCTATATTCTGTCTCCTTTTGCAGGCACAAACACAGGGGGTGAGGGGGGGCTGCTCTAGTTTCCTGGAGGCTTTTTTTTTGTATTGGTCCCTTTTTTTCCCTGCCTGACCAGCTGCAAATGTGTGCAGTATGCTTACAGCGGTGGGGTGAACTGGGGTGCAAAGAGGCTTTGAGGTGGACCTAGGGACAGTGAAGGAGGTGGCACCCTTGTGAATCGCTGAGCAGCGTCTCCCCTATGCGTGCTGGGAGCCTGTGCACGCGCGCACACACACACACGTGTGCCATCCGCGGAGCTGCACGCATGTGTGTGTGCGTGTGTGTGCGTGTGAGCGCACGCATATGCGGGTATGTTTACACAGACGCACTCTATTGCCATGGCTGTGACTACAGAGGGTCTGCAATTTAAGTATCATCCTAGACATCAGCTAAAGATCATAGGAGAGTCTTTGCCATTTGCTCCAGAATTTATTGCCCTCGAATGCAAAGCAGCATCAGAATGGTCCTGCTAAAAGCTTAACTTCCAAAAAAAAAGAAATGCGACCCACAGTCCAGCAAACGTAAATTCGGGAGGAGGGAAGTAATTAGCAAACACTAGAAGTAAGCGTCTTGATATGGGATTATTAAAAATAAGTGCCACCCCAAAACAACCCTCCCCCCAGCACCACTCCTAGACAGAACAGTTCAATTGCGTGAAGTTCACTTTTAAGATAGAGAAAACCCGCGATGCAGTGGAAGTGCGCCCACGGCCCCAGAAACGTGCTCTCAATATCCAACACTTACAGGCTAATGAGCGGGGGGAGGGGGACGAGGAGGAATGTGCCACAAATGCATTGGATCCTCAGTGCAGAGGGCATATTCCCTACATCGCTTTCTGACAATGCAGGAGCGAAGTTGGGACTTTGCTGTGGGTTTAGCAGAGTGGTAAACCAGCTTTGTCCCCCCTCTTTTTTCTTTCATTTTTTAATTTTTCTTTCCTGTTTCCTAAGGATTCCCCAGTAACTTCCAGCAACGAACCCACAAGCTGGGCTCTCGGCCACCGTTCCCAGGGTACCAATGTGCCAGGTCTAAAATAAACTGGGAAAGGTTTCATATTACACAGTGCCCTGCAGGAACCGTGTTTCTCCAGCAACCTGGACTTTATCTAAGAACCGAGAAAAAAAAAATCTTAGGGAAATAAACTTTTCCTTCCTTCCCCAACCCGCCCCCCTTGACTGCACCGAAATGGCTTACCAGCGCACGAGTTCATCCGCTGCATCCAGGGGTAAACAGGACTCGTGTACTTCCGGTCGGTGCCTTCGTCATTTACAATTTTGGCTTGGACGCCGCTGGATTTGTACTGTTGCTCGGGAGAAAAGTGCAGGTAGTCCCCGGGCCCCCTCTGCTTCCCACTGCCGGAGGGAGAGGCGCTACTAATTTCCTTGTCCGAGTAAAAACAAGAGGCTCCGTACTCATAGGAAGCCCGGTTGCAAGCAATGACGGTGTTGGACTGTTGGTAGAAACAAGGTGAGGTGTAAGTCTTGTCCTGCAGGCTGCTCGCCCCGTACGAAGCCGGAAAATGCCTGAGAGCATCATACCCCGTCGGGTACAGGGGGATCTGCCCGAGGAAAGAGTCCTGGCCTCCCGGCAGGCTCCCCGGGAAAGTGGGATTCACGAAATAGGAACTCATTTGCTCTTCCCCCTCTCTCGGACCGTGATTTGTTGTGTATTAGTACATCTGGCGATAACTATTAGGAGTCATCGAAGTGGTTTGTTTCTGGATGGCCGAGCGCCAAAAGCGACAGCAGAAAATAGGAGCAGCTGACGGCGGGGCGGCCAATGGGAGCGCGCGCGGCGCCCGCTCCCCCGGGGACG